GAGTCCACAGTGGAGACAGTGGAGAAGGGGGTTCTGCCTCTCCGGCCTCTTCTCCAGCAGGGGAGGTGGGCACAGTTCCCCCACGCCCACCCCAGGGTACCCGGAGGCTTGTCTTTCACTGCTTCTTCTCCCATGAGAAAATTCAAACAGACCCAATCCCCCTCAGGCCCTTGGGTATGAGCCAATATGCCTCAGGGGAGGGTCTCCGATGACCCCAGCCCCTTTCAGCTGCTCTCTGCCCCCTCTGTTCCCCAGCATCCTCCCTCTTATCAAACCTGTTCCCTGTCTCCATGGTGACACCACCTCACCCAGCTTCCTTGGGTGGTCTGGTTGCCTCACAGTGTGAAGCTCTGAGAACATTTTCCTCATGTGCAGCCAGAAACTTCCACTTCCCATGCCCAGGGCTGCCCCTCTCTTCTCTCCTCTTCATTCCCCTCTTGCAAGCCTCTCCCTGAGACATTTCCCATCCCTACCCCATCATGGCTGTGTCCAGTTGACAGACCCCTCTGTGAGTCCCGAGGGCTCCTCAGAAGAAGGCTTCAGAATGGGATCACCATCCATCATCTCAGTCCCCTTGCTGTACGTGCATGTGTGCAGATACACACATGTGCCCTCACACATGACATACGCATGCCCGGCACCCACAAGACAAGCACATCCAAGAGCCAGATATCCCAACCCACGACCCCCACTTCTTGTACATATCTACAAGTTCATGCAGCCAAGTGAATGTAGTAGCTACAACCAAACCCAAGCACCCAAGGGTCAGGGCACCCTCTGATTTCTCCTGGGTTCAGGCATGGCCTGAAGGTTTGAGCTGTGTTCTCCGAGTTGCACAAGAAACCAGCTGCACAGCCGGCCTCCCAGGACAGTCATATGTCAGTAGGAACCACCAACATGGCAGAACAGCCTCTGTGTTTGGAGTTTCTGTGTGTCAGTTCGTTCCCTGTCATTGTGCAGGCACAGCCTCCCCACAGCAGGGCCCAGTGCCTCTTACCAGGGCCCTCAGCCATTCCCAGGGCCCGTGGCATTGGCTTGGTGGCTCTCAGCCTTGAAATCCCCACTTCACCTCCCTCTTCCAACTCTACACGGTCCTCTTCCTTCCCCTTCCCCTGGCACCAGCCCCACCCCTTTTCCTTTTGAGAGAGCCAGCCCTGAATGGGGCTCCCCCCACCCATGAACAGTTGAAATTCACCCTCCTTGCACCACCCCACCCCCTTTACTGAGCACCGCAGCTGGGCTTTGTGTTGTTTTGGGGCAGGATGTGGGGGTAGGTTGGCGGGGGTTCAGGCTCCCTCCACTTCAGGGGAGAACAATGAGGCCGCTAGTCAGGGTGGTGGGGCAGAGGGAGTGGGTGGGGTGGGGGCCATGGAGCGACATCAGAGCCTCTGCGGCCCCGGCCCCTGGAGGGACAGCTGAGTGATGAGGCCTGAGTCACATGCCCCGAGTGCTCCTTGAACTCCCGCTGCGTTCTTGTCGAGACACATCCAGAAATGCGCAGGGTAAATATTTAGAGGTAATCATTTTTTTTGCGGCACCTCGAGCCTCCCGCTTTGCTGAGAATGAGCCAGGGGTGGGACACCAGGGGGAGGAGTCAGATCCGGCCCAGGTTCTGCAGCGTGGGCTTCTGTAGGCGCCGCCCGAGGTCCCCTGCCGCTGCCCAGTGTGCTCCCACCCCTTCGCATTTCAGCCACAGTCTGAGGCGAGTGGGACCTAAAAACATCCTGAGGACAAAACCCTGACTTAAAATCCATCAACAGGCTGGGTGCAGTGGCTCACGCCTGTAACCCCAGCCCTCTGGGAGACCGGGGCAGGTGGATCACTTGAGGTCAGGAGTGAGACCAGCCTGGCCAACACGGTGAAACCCTGATGCTACTAAAAATACAAAAAAAAGCCAGGCATGGTGGCAGGCACCTGTAATCTCAGCTACTAGGGAGGCTGAGGCAGGAGAATCTCTTGGACCCAGGAGGCAAAGGTTGCAGTGCGCTGAGATTGCACCACTGCACTCCAGCCTGGGCGACGACAGTGAAACTCTGAAAAAAAAAAAAAAAAAAATCCATAGACAAACTCTCTGGGTTCTGCCTCTCTCCCACCTTAAACTGTGGCCGTGGCACACCAGCTACAGCTTCTGAGCCCTGTTTCTAGAACAGCAAGCCCAGAGGTGGCCCTGCTGTTTCTGCAGGGGAGCAGGGAGGAAACGGTAGGCGAGAACCAGCGCCAGGTGCAGCGTGCCCGGTCCTTGGCTGTACCCTGCATGGAATGTCTTCCTTCCTTGGAGGACATGGAGTCCAGAGCCCAGGCTTTATCAAAGATAAAGCATTTGAGACTAAACATTCTTTTTATAGATTGGAACAGGACTCCGAAGCACAAGCTCTCCCGGCCGTTCCCAGCCTGCCTTTCTGGGCTGGGAAAATATTATTTATGGCCCTCTGGCCGAATGGTACATATATTGGAAGTGGATAACCAGTATCACTTACACAAACAAAAATAACTGTCAAATTTGTGGAGTTAGGTAGAAGCCAGATTTTAAAAGGTGCCAACCAGGAGATTTAACAGGTACAGTTATCCGTTCAATGTTATTTTTAAGAAGGGAGATGTTTGCACCTTTTAATTCTACATCCTGTTTCCCCAGAATGAGAATTTGTGTACGATGATATTTGTATTCACTTTCTTCAAAAAATCCACGTAAAAGTGCCAAAACTTAAAAAAACAAAACAAAACAAAAAAACCCACTCGTTTCTTGGGGGGAAATGGAGACACTGAAGCTAGAGGGATGACAGTGCATGCCCTGGGAAAGGAGAGAGCCACAAGAAGGCTTGGTGGCAGTGCCCAGCCTTGTGGTGGTCTCATCTGGGCCCACCTCTGTACCCCCTCAGGGAGGGGGCGGGCAGAGACAAGAATCAGCTATTAGGAGTTTGAAGTAGAATGGAACCCAAAGCCGGGCTTGGTGGCTCAAGCCTGTAATCCCAGCACTTTGGGAGGCCGAGGCGGGTGGATCACAAGGTCGAGAGATCGAGACCATCCTGGTCAACATGGTGAAACCCCGTCTCTACTAAAAATACAAAAATTAGCTGGGCATGGTGGCGCGTGCCTGTAATCCCAGCTACTCAGGAGGCTGAGGCAGGAGAATTGCTTGAACCCAGGAGGCGGAGGTTGCGGTGAGCCGAGATCGTGCCATTGCACTCCAGCCTGGGTAACAAGGGCGAAACTGTCTCAAAAAAAAAAAAAAAAAAAAAAGAGAAGAAAAAATAAAAAAGAATGGAACCCGAATGCGTCAGGCACATACACACAGTCTCACACACCGTTGCTCACCCAGGCACAAACTGTGAAGACGATGTGAACACAGGGTGAGACCCACAGAAGAAGGTACCAACCCCTCTCCACTACTTTCCTCCTACCTTTCCCTCAGTGTCCTGTGGGCAAGTGTCCCAGCCCCACCGGCCTGTGGGAAAGGCACGAACTCCTCTCCCACCAGCCTGCGGGGCTGGGACGCTTGCCCACAGGACACCGAGGGAAAGGCAAATATGTACCGTGTCTGTACTGTTTATTAGGCGGTCTGTGAACATGAGCCCACTTAATCTTTACAGGGACACTGCTAGCTTGGTGCTGTCCTATTTTTATCGATGAGGTCAGCTACGGTCAGAGCAGTCAAGGGCCCAAGGTCTGATAGGTAACTGCGGAAGAGAGATTTGACCCCAGGGCCTTTTGCCTTCAAAGCTCAGTGTTCCTTTCTCTTTGTTTTCTTGAGTGTAAAATAGAGATCATGATGGAAGCTAATTTGGGGTTATTAGTGAGAACCGAGGGAGGTTGTCTATGTCAGCTGGTGTCTGACACAGAGTAGGCCTCCAGTAAATGCCAGGGTAATGATTGTGATTATTTTGTGTTCAGGGCCTCTAAGAGGACAGTGCCACAGGGTCTGTCAGATGATACCGGAAGCTTAAGATGATGGAGGCTGTGAATCCGCAGAGGGACTGGGATCCTTACCACTTGGGAATCTGGGCACCTTCTGTGATGTGCCAAGGGGTCACGTCTTCCAGGTGGACTAAGGCAGTGGTTCTCAACCCATTTGGCACCAGGAACCAGTTTTGTGGAAGCCAATCTTTCCACGGACGAGGGGTGGAGTATAGGGCATGGTTTGGGGATGAAACTGTCCCACTTGATATCGTCAAGCATTAGTTAGATTCTGATAGCAGCACGCAGCCTAGACCCCTCGAGTGCACAGTTCACAGTAGGGTTCAGGCTCTTCTGAGAATCTTAAGCTGCCTTGGCTGATCTGACGAGAGGCGGAGCTCATGTGGGAATGCTCACCTGCCCCGTCATCTCCCTCTGCATGTACTGCCTGGTTCCTAACAGACCCAAAGCCTAGTTCTGGTCTGCTGCCCTGGGGTGGGGAACCCCCAGACCAAGGGAAGCAAACAGGTAGAGCGTGGTAGACACGTCAAAGGGCAGTGAAATGCCACTAACTCTGGGATTGAATCAGAGGATGGTCCTCCATGGGGAGCCCAGGAACAGTCATACCAGTTCATAAATACTGAATGACCCAGATCCATAGATTGGAATGTGAGTGGTCTCTGGGCCTCAGTTTCCCCACTGGTAAAAAGAGCGGGTGAGCTATTATTTGTATTTGGCGATCCCTCCCTTCCTGCTCTGAAATTCTGTTAATTTTACTCTAGTTCCTCCCTTTATAGGGAGGACAGTATCCTTCATAATCCCAATCACAGCCAGTCCCAGGGGAGTGTCAAAGAAAGGGTAAAAAACAGAGGGGAAAGGGGGAAACCATATAGAGAGAATCCACAAATGGCCCGGAAGAGACCTCTCAGCTCAGTTATTGCCCTTAGAGAGAATGCAGCTGCCGTTGCCAGACTGGCTTTGGAGTTAGGATGGCCTGGTTTGGGGGGACTGTGGGAACGCTGGAGGTTCCTTGAGGGGGTTTGGCCCTGGACCGTGCCAGATGGCCCAAGTGGGGAGTTCACAGCTCCTTCACATTTTCTCTCCACCAGGGACCTCAGCATGAACAACCTCACAGAGCTTCAGCCTGGCCTCTTCCACCGCCTGCGCTTCCTGGAGGAGCTGTGAGTAGATGCTTTGCAGGGTGGGAGGCAAGGGTGGGCTATGTCTAATGTCTCTGGAACCAGGGCAAGGGACTCGGGAAGCGAAGACTGTTCTTGAGAGCAGGGTGTTCTCCAGCTGATACCTGCCCCAGGTGTGAATTGACATGCTGGGTCCCATGGCATAGGGAGTCTAAGATCTAGCTTTCATTCCTCTTTGAAACCAGCTCCTCTTTGCAGCATTCCTTCCTAATATGAAGAGTCGCACTTCCTAGGAGTCATCTTTGACCTGCTGTCATCCCCTGTGTGCAGCTACCAGCCCCTCCCCAGGTCCTGGTGGTTCTTCTCTGGGATGTCTCTCACCTTCACCCCGCTTCTCTATTCCCGCTGCCACTGCCCCAGATGTCCCCTCCTATCTGGGGGTTGAACCAGCCTCCCGACTCACAGACGTCCTCTTTCCATTCTAAATTACTCCGCACACCTTCAGGATGCATCTCACAAGCTCCAAAGACTTCTGTAGTCCCCATGGCCTAAAGCATCCACATCTGAGACCCTCCCTTACAGTAAAGGCTCACTCCCTCCACAGAGTTACCTTGCCCACAATGGTCACGCTCAGATTGGGATTTTTAAATCTGGCCTTATATGCTAGGTATGCTAGGGGTGGTCATAAGTAAATCATCTCCCGGGTTAGAGTGACTGGCCTGCCTGCTCTGGGAAGCCAGGTCATTCTGTCCTAATCTTTGCTTTCATCTTAGCTCTGTATTTCCAACACCTCTCGGCCCTGTTTATTCTTATTTTCACACCACATAGATCCCTGGGGCTCTAGAAATTTTGCTTAAACTTCTCAGACTGAGTATTACAGCTCTTTTAGAATTTGTCTGGCTTTTTTAGATTTTAAGTACAAAATAATAAACAAAGAAACTTCGGAAACTGTGAGTTCCTGGCCCCAAACTCACAATCTCATCTCTACTCTGGCCCCACGACTCCTCTAACAGATCTCCCCACCTTGACCCTAGACAGTGCTCCCCAGGGATGCAGTCAACCTGTCCCTGTTGGATTTTTGACCCCCAGAGCCATGGCTTGGTCTCCAGACCAAGTACTTTTTGAACCCCCACTGGTGGAGAGCAAACTCAAGGTGGTCTGGGAGAAAACAAGATAAAAGCCTTCCTGCCACCCACAGGAAGAAGAGCAGTGTGGCCAGCAAGCCAGCAGGGGAATGTGGCAGCTGTTGGCTCAGGCACCCAGGGCAGTCTGTGTAAGGGAGTGGTCAGGGTTGGCCTGGCCAGTGGGCAGGAAAGCCTTCCTGGAGTAGGAAGATTAAGCCAGTTTTCAAAGGAGGTGGACAGGGTAAGAGGCAGTGGAGGGGCCTTTTGAGGGTGAGTTGACACAGCCTGGGTGGGAATGCAAAGTAAGAGCACGGGCCCAGGAGCTCGGGCAGGTGACATTGGATACAACCTGACAACTCAGAGCTGACTTTCCATCTCCCATTCTCTGAGAGGGCTGGCCCCATTTTTTTTTTTTTTTTTTTTTTTTTTTTTAGACAGAGTCTCACTCTGTCACCAAGGCTGAAGTGCAGTGGCACGATCTCAATTCACTGAAACCTCCTTCTCCCAGGTTCAAGCAATTCCCTGCCTCAGCCTCCTGAGTAGCTGGGATTACAAGTGCCCGTCACCACACCTGGCTAATTTTTGTATTTCTAGTAGAGATGGGGTTTCACCATCTTGGCCAGGCTGGTCTTGAACTCCTTACCTTATGATCCACCCGCCTCATCCTCCCAAAGTGCTGGGATTACAGGTGTGAGCCACCGTGCCAGGCTGGACCCATTTTAGAGACCCCACCTGAAGGACTCTTCCATGGCAAATTCCCATTTGCAGAACCCAAGCTAGGAGACCTCAGATGTCACAATGCCTTTCCACACAGTTTTTTTTAAACAATAAATGTCAAATAAAGAGACTTTTATTAGAGAGAGATGTTTTAAAAATAGCTTCTGAGGTATGTCAGCATAATCTCCACATCTACAAGCCTTTCGGTAGCAACTGATGCACATAATAATGTCCCTGGGGACTTTGGAGATCAGACGGTATCTTCTGAATCATCCACCATTAAACTGCTCAGTCAGGTTTCAGCAGTGACTGTATTTCGTTGCATTTGCTCCTTTCGGAATTGGTGATCACTCCCTGACAAACATGGAAACACTTAATTAGACCAGAATGTTAGATGAATTCCAACACCCCATTTCCTAGCCCTCCTGGATTAGTGAGGGTTAGCTGTGTAGTTTAGGGCCTGGAGAGACACAGACACACCCCCGGTACTCATCCCTCCACGGATGACACCATATAATGCAGTCAGCGGTTGAGAGCAGGCGGTGGGGAATCAGCGTTGCACAGGAGAGGATGTGGGGAAACTGTGGCCGTGAGTCCTGGAATTAGTCAGGTCTGGGTGAGAACACCACGCCCTACCATTGACTGGTTCTGTGACCCCTAAGGGAAGTGGTTGACTTCTCCCAGCCTCAGTTTCCTCATCTGAAATTTGGGGATAATAGGCACTTTACAGGATTCTTGTGAGAACTGAGGCAATGCATGTGAAGTATTAAACACATGAGTAAATGGTAGTCCTTACCACCACCCTCTCTTCCCCTATCCCAAGACACTGACTTATGGAGGTCACCACCTCCTTGTGTTACCGGCCAACATCGCTGACCCTTGTCTCTGATTTCCAGGCGTCTCTCTGGGAACCATCTCTCACACATCCCGGGACAAGCATTCTCTGGTCTCTACAGCCTGAAAATCCTGTAAGTATAGGCACACTTCATTTTACATAGAGCTGCGGCACTGACAATTGTGAACAAATCAAAGTTTTAGAACCCGAGTCTTGGTTTACCACTGACTTGCTTATTATTTCCTTATCTTCACTTTCAGTTTGAATTGTTATTTTCATTTCTCTGCTTCACCTTGTCTGTAACAAACTTTATGATTTGTAAAGCAACATTTAATTGTACCTGCTACATTTGGCCACACTAAAAGAAAGTGAAACATTTAAAAAATATAAAGTGTATGATGACCATGGCTAGAGATTTTTGTGGGACTGAGTTCAGTTAGAGACCCACAGGTCTCTCCCCACGACCTCTAGCCCAAGAGAGGGACAAGACCGTTTCTGGAGAGGAGAAATACACGTGGCTTTTCTTCGCCTCTCCCTCCCCTTGCAACCCAACCTTAGTCTCTGTGGCTGCAGCACCGAGTTTCCATTCTGGCTGTAAACAACTCACTCCTTCCGTCTGCAGGTTGCTTCCTCCCTGCTCCTCCTTCGCCTCTTCCCTCTGAAGCAAAAGGGAAGTGAGAGTTGGAGAGGACCTTTTATTATTTCACCTAGCTTCCACTGATGGCCCATTTCAGAGACAGGAAGGCTGAGGCACAGTCTCTTCCCAGCCCAACCCATGACTCACCTTGTTCCAACTAAGACGGTCCTCCCCAAGCCTCCTCACGTTCTTATGATGAGTGGAGGTTAGAGGAATTGGCAGGAAGGGGCTGCACAGGGACTGAGGTAGGCAGGAGAGGAGGGTATGTTGCCACAGGGTCTGGTTTGGGAAGAAAATGAGGATGCTGGGGACTGATGCTGGAGCAATAGAATGAACATTTGGGGCTTCCTTAAAGTGGTGAGTCATTCCCAGCTCTGCTATTCCCTTACCCCTGACTTGACTTGCAGGTCTCTTTTGTACAGTTGAGCAGTTGTTCATTTCACTGGAGAATCTGGTTAAGAGAGTGAGAAGGGGGTGAAGCCCAGTTGTGTGCTCTGGCTTGGGGCTGCATCCACCCAGAAAGGGATATCTTTTAAACATGTACTCAGAGGTGCTGATGGGCTAGTGGTGGTCCTGCCCCCCTTGGCCCATGAGCTCCAGGCGTCCAGCTGCTCAAGGTCAACAGTCCTCATCTAAGCACCTCTGGCCCCTCCGCCTGTGCATCTCTGACTCCCAGGGGTCTCCGGTGTCTATTTTTCCCTTACTCTCTGCTCTGTCCTTGGGTCTCTCCTATCTGTCGCCAGCCTCAGTCTCCTTGTCTCCGCCTTCTCCTTCTCTGTCTCAGACCTTGCTGTCGCACTCTCTGCCCCTCTATCCCCTGCCTCTTAGTTCTGCTTCTTCCTGTCTCCTCTCTGTGTCTCTCTCCCCATAAACATCTCTGCCCTGGGGAGCAGGGAGGCATTCTGAAACAGACACGCAGTGCAGGCAGCCTGCTTGGTGGCGTGTCTGTGCCCAGTGGCAGGCTCAGACCTGCAGCCTGGATTAGAAAGCAGGGCTCTGTTTACTGGGCCTTCGGAAGATGTGAGACTCACGTCCCGTTCCTAAGACTCCGGCTTAGAGATGAGCCTCCTCTTTCTTCTTTGCCTGCATTAGGCAATAAATCAAAGCTTCAGAGAAACCACAGGCCTCCCGCCCCCCTTTCTACAAATGGCACCCTTGGCTCAGTGAGTAGGGCAGGAGGGGGAGGTTGTGGGCAGGAGCTGAGTGGGAGCTGAGGCCAGCCAAGCTATCTGCTCCTCACGTTGCCATTGAGCCCAGTTTTGCCCCATCCTCAAAGATCACCTGGTCCCCAAAGCCTTCGTGTCAGTCTTTTGCCTGCAGAACCTCTCTACCTTAGGGATCGTTTGGGTGGTCTTGGGGACTTAGCCTCTTACGCGCCTCAAAGCAGAAGATTCCACCTGCATCCTGGGCATGAATTACTTTCTGATGTCTGATGTCAATTTCCCTTGTAGTTCCTTCCATTGCCAGCTTTTCAGAGCTGCGAGAAAAATAGAGCAGCAGCACCATGATAATAACTTATTTTTGTACCGGGAGACAGTCACATGACAGCTCCCCAATCCTCTCTGGGTCTGGGACCCTTATCTGAGTGGCCTCGTCTTATTTCAGAGGCTGAGCTCTCCCTGCGGGACACTGCCTTGGTCCTTCCCTCCCAAGGCAAAGGATTAAATAAAGAGGATTCCCTCTCCGATCCTTTCTTAAATGACTGTGACAGGAGCCCTCTCTCATGTCTTTCCTCCACTCCCCACACCCCTACCCATCCCCACCTGACCTGGAGATATTACTCTTTTTTTTAAAAAACAAAACAAAACAAAAACCAAAAAACAGTCTTGCTCTGTCACCCAGGCTGGAATGCAATGGCATGATCTCAGCTCACTGCCATCTCCGCCTCCTGGGTTCAAATGATTCTCCTGCCTCACCCTCCAGAGTAGCTGAGATTACAGGCATGTGCCACCATGCCGGGCTGATTTTTTTTTTGTATCTTTAGTAGAGACGGGGTTTCACCATGTTGGCCAGGATGGTCTCGAACTCCTGACCTCGTGATCTGCCCGCCTTGGCCTCCCAAAGTGCTGGCATTACAGACGTGAACCATGCACCCAGCCGATATTACTCTTAAGATCTTCTTCTTCCTCTGGGAGTTCTCCAAGTCTTCAACCCACAGGCTCTGGCCAGGCTCAGATCAAGAGAGTTAGCCCCTGCAGGGAATTTTCAGTCTCACATTGCTGTCTCAGTCCTGTAGAGCTGGCAAGGCCCAGACGCTAGTCTTACCACTGCTAGTCTCACCATCCCGGCTCAGCACTGGAGCTGTCCTAAGGGACGCCATGCTTCCCTTTGCCCTAGGTGTGTGGGAAAATGCCTGAGCCTCTCAGGGCTCCTCCCCTGCCTGATTTTACACAGGAGCAGCTTTGGCCAGAGCTCCTGCATCTTGACCTGTGGCCTGAGGGTGTGGGGATGTGTGTGTGCGTGTGTGTGTCAGGCCTCCCCAGTCTGTATCTCAAAAGGTTCCTGTCCCGACTCCATCCCAGGTTTCTTTCCCCAGAGCTGACCTCCCAGAGAGCTGGGTGAGGCATGAGCCTTGGTTACCTTCCCACCTCTGCAGACCAGCTCCTCCCTCCCTATGCCAGGTTAGCCTGACTCCATCTAGAAAGGCTTCTCCTGGGCTTCAGCTGCTTCTCACCAGGCCCAGATCTGGGAAGCTGGGGCTGACAGTCTGAGGACCTGCCTCCTGTCCTGCCCATAAGAGACTGGGCAGGAGATTTTCCCAGGCGCCTTGCTTCTGGATTGAGCCCCAAATCCCCGTAAGTCTGTGACTGCGGATTCCCAGCCCATGCCATCTTGATAGAGACTAAGGGCTCTCAGAAGGCACCTGCTGCTTCCTGAGCTGGGGCCCATCCCGTATGAAACCCTGGCTCTAGGCCATGGAGGAGTCATTGGGAGTTAGCATCTCCAAGACCCATCCCTGAGGAAACCTCCCTGTGCCGACCTCTAGCGTAGCCTTTTCACCCTCTATGGAGCTGTCTTTGGTTGACATTGATGGTGTTTACTCTCCACCTGGCTAGGCAGTGACCATGCCTGGCTGAGTCTGGGCTCCATCAGTGTCGATGAACTGAATTGAACTGACCCAGGAAGGGACATGCTAGTCATTTGGGAGTGCTGGGCTCTGTCCGAGCCTCACCAGCCTGACTCAAGGGAGAAGGCTCTCCCCTCTGGGTTACCCCTATACATGAGTCAAGGCCTGCTGCCCTCATCCCTTCAAGGGACTGGATGACAGGAAGTGTGTCGTACAGTCAGAAGCCTTGAGCTCAGACTCAGAGCCTCACCAGTCCCCACAACAGGTGTCAAGGAGGACTTCAGATTTCCTCTCTCTGAGCCTCTGTTTCCTCACCTTTTAAAATGGTGAAGTCAGAATAAAATTTCCAGCATTTTTAGCTGTGGAAACTTAAAACAGATCCTTGTGTAGTTTGTACGTGTGATGATCGGGTGTTTGCACGTATGTGTGAGATGTGTCACCCCTGGACCTTGTTACGACATCAGCACATGACCCGTCTACACGAAAAATTTTTTTTAAAAAGGAAACTTAAAACACAATCAAAAGCATTTTGTGGGCCAGGCCCAGTGGCTCATACCTGTAATCCCAGCACTTTGGGAGGCCAAGGTGGGCAGATAAGCTGAGGTCAGGAGTTCAAGACCAGTCTGACCAACATGGTAAAACTCTGTCTCTACTAAAAATACAAAATTAGCCGGGCATGGTGGCACACACCTATAATCCCAGCTACTTGGGAGGCTGAGGCAGGAGAATCGCTTGAATCCGGGGAGGTGGAAGTTGCAGTGAGCCGAGATTGCACCATTGCACTCCAGCCTGGGCAGCAAGAGCAAAACACCACCTCAAGGAAAAAAAAGCACTTTGTGCGGAAGTCCAGATACATAAAGCTGATAGTCCAGATACATAAAGTCCAGATACATAAAGATGAAGGCAGTCTCTGGTTAAAGTGAGTGAAGAGGGTGGTCAACTCCAAGTTGTACTTACCTACCTATCCCGTAAGCCCCAAACACTTCTACAGAACTAAAGAAGCCTTTGGAAAGCATGGGTGGATCACCTCTCTTGTACCTCTTGGATGTGACACTCATGGTTCCTGCCCCCAAATGCCTCTCTGGCCACGGAGATGCTTCACATGTGTGAGGAGGGGAGGAGTGCTGGGGACTAGACTTCTACCAGACCAACAGCTGCACATTAGTCACCTGAGAGCCTGCAAAAGCACCGATGCCTAATATTCCTTCTCCAGAGACTTTGCCTCAAAGATTTGACTGGGCTTCAGTGTGACCTGGGCATTGCGATCTTAAAAATCATCCCAGAGGTCAGGTGCAGTGGCTCATGCCTGTAATCCCTGTGCTTTGGAAGTCTGAGGCAGGAGGATCGCTGGAGCCCAGGAGTTTGAGACCAGCCTGGGCAAAATTAAGACCCCATCTCTAAAAAGAAAATGTCAAAACTTTGTTGATTCTGATGTACAACCAGGGCTGAAAACCACTGGATTAGATAGACAGCCTCCCCATGCAGAACCAGGCTAGGAAGAGAAGTAGGAAAAATGTCAGGACTTGAGTCCTAGTCCTGATTCTGCCATTAATTTGCTTTGTAACTTGGGTCAAGTTACCTTCCCTCTCTAAACCTTCACCTCCTCATCTTGGAAAACAAGGGGGCTGTTTCCTTCTAAAGGCACTTCCACCCTTTATAACTAATAACCCAGTTGTAGTTCAGTGAAAGAATGATGGCTGGGAAATGAGACCAGGAACATCAAGGGAAATGGGTCAGGGCCAAAGCGACTGCCATGCTGACCTAAAGTTTGGTGGATGTTGATTCCATAAATAAAAGGACTTTCTGATACTCAGACTGTCTGGCATGGGATGAATCGTCTGGGGAGACAATGAGTTCCCTGACACTAGAAGGCAAATTAAATGCCCTGGGAAGATGTTGCAGTGTCTGTATTGGGAGGAGGTACAATTCAGTAACCTTGAAGATCTTTCTAGATCTGTGTCTTGGATTTGACAAAGGAAAGGTTGGAGGAATCTTAGGAGATGGTGTGGGTGGAGATACATTGAGGTGCCCCATGGAGCTGGGGACTCACCTGTGCAGTGACCAGATGGAGCCTCCCTGGCCCCTGTTGAGGGGGCTGTGCGGAGTTGTGAGCACCTGTGACCCCCTGCTTTCTCAGCCAGCATTTCTCTCGTGTCCTTTCTCCAAGCACCTTCAGGCTTCTGCATGAGAATCAAGGCTGACCCCTGAGATGGGAAGTGAAGGCCCACTCTTTAGATGAAAGAAGTCAGGATGGCTAGGAGGGTAGAAACTCTAAGCAGGGCAGAGGCCAGGAAGTGTCCTGGATGGAATGTTACCACTGAGTGAGGCTTTATGCGCCTTCTGGCAGCCTCTCCCTTTGGAAGATGAAGGAATCAAGGTCCAGAGAGGGGAAAGGGAGTGACTGACTCAAGTCATCCAGTAAGTGGTAACACTGAGACCAGTCACTAATGATAATGATAATATCAGCGTATGTGCTGTTGAACTTGTCCTCTGTGTGAGACACTGCCATTGAGTGCTTTACAGGGGTGACTTTATTTGATCCACACAATCAGTGCATGAGGTCAGTATCATCCCCAATTTACAGAGGAGAAAACAAAGGCCCACCGTGTTTAAGTAGCGTGCACACTGTCACACAGCTGGAAAGCAATAGAGCTAGGATGCGGATCAGGCTGTCTGACTTCAGAGCCTGCACCTGTGACAACTATACTTTAAGGAAGCCCAAGAGGCACAGGTTTAAATTCCAACCCTGAAGCAAAACTCTGAAACTGGAAAGGTCCCTCTGGCACTGGGTGGAGCCTGGATTGAAGGGGCCAGTGGAGGCCAACAGACGTGCAGGATCACAGAGTGTGTATGGAAAGGAGCTGAGCCCCCCCAGCTGCTCACAGCCCTGGGCTCTGCCCCTTCCTGCAGCCAGGCCCTTCCCCTGTGCTGCCCTTGCTCCTTCCCCACTGTTGGGGTGACAAGGAGGAACCCAACCCCAGGGCTCCCCGAAGTCTGTCTTTGTTCTCCCTTCTGCAGCCTTGCCTCTACGAAGGGCTCCTCCTATCCCCACCCCTTCCCACAGTGAGCCCAGCATTCTTTTGCTCTTGTGATGCTGAGGTTGGGTTCGTATTTGAGATTTTCACATATCCATAGAGGAGTTTAAGAGAGACGGCATGTGACTCTGACCAGGACGTCCCGTAGGAGGCATGGATAACAACACAGACTCATCATCTTACTGCTCAGCATTTTCTGGCCATTGCCCTATCCCACCAGAATGACAGACACTGTGGTGTAATGGTTAAGTGTCTAGACTCTGGACCCAAACCCTCTGGGTTCAAAGCCCGGCTCTGTCACGTACCAGTTGTGTGTACCCTCAGCATGAGGATGACAATAATTCCTATCTGTTGGCAGTTGTAACAAGGATAACCTTGAATTCATACAAGTCCTAAGACCAGGACCTGGCACATTAGCCATTGCTATTATTAAACCAAAGGATCAGAAAATGAGCTACTCTTCCTGAAGCATGGAATTACCTGAATGGTTGTGGGCCAAGGCTTCCCCCTCTGAAAGACAAATGGATACACCATAAAGGGAGGACTGAATCTCCTAGGGCTCACTCACTGTGCCCAGGCCAATCAGTGGCTTCCTTCCTTCCTGCTTCCCCAGCTCTTCCATGAACTCCCTGCGAGCTCTCCTTCTCCTCATTTCTGGATCTAAAGGCCTGGAGGTAAAGAAAGTGCAGATGGCAACTGCTACCCAGGGGCTTCCTCCCGTGTCTTTACCCAGTTCCTCCTCTTGCTCAGGGCTCTGTGCCTCAGGGACTCCCTGCACTTTCGAGTGCAATTCTCAAAACTTTCTAAGACCCCTCTGATGCCTGGGCTTGGCTAGAGTCAGCAGTGCCACCTGGAGAGGTGCCCTAGACCCTTTCTCCCCTTGTGCATGCTCTCTGACCCTCTACCGTACGCATGGGGCTCCCAGGTGCCCCAAGGAGCCCCAGGACTCCTGCCGATGGAGTTGTTGTGGGGTCTGTGGCCCTGGTTTCTGGAGGGCAGCAGTGAACAGATTGCTTTCCCTGGCTGGCACAGCACTTCTTTGAGGGATTAGGTGAGACTGGGCCATCAGAATAGCATGGATACACTCATCTTGGGTGCTTCGAATTGTTCCTATAGACAAAGGCTCCCCAAAACACACATTTGCCTGGGGCCCCGACACACTAAGGGCAGCCTTACCCTCATCCACATCTTCCCCTTCCACAAAGAAACCTTTAGCCTTTCAGATGAATAGACAGGGCAACTGACAACCTAAATTTTCCCACATCCTTCCTGACCAAACTTCAACAGAATTCCAAGTATTCTGACTTCAGGATGTCTTCTCTCCTTCCACTCCATAGTCTTCTTCACTCCCACCTCATCCTAGGGTCTCTTCTGAGATACCCCCTCTCCCTGCACACTGAGCCTCCCTGCCCCATGTACAACCCCCTGAGGACCTCAGCAGCCTCTAATTCTGCACTAACAAGGCAGGGGAGCTGGACCAGACTCTCTCTGGGGCTCTGAGGCTGGGGTGGGAAGCAGGGGTCTGGCTTGGGGCTGGGAGTTCAAGGGAGGAGTCGGCACGCCCCACCCAGCTCCGCATGCCATGTGGGTCCTTAAAGCCCTTTCTCTTCCCCCATAGGATGCTGCAGAACAACCAGCTGGGAGGAATTCCTGCAGAGGCGCTGTGGGAGCTGCCAAGCCTGCAGTCGCTGTGAGTCATTAGAGGGCCAGTCTGGGAGTCATCAGCTTCCTGGGGCCTGAGTCACAGCCCAGGGCCCCCTGCCTCAGCTTTCCCTTCCCTCTGGAGGCCCCCCTCTCCCGGTCCATGTTCCACACAGCATGCCGCTCCTGGCTGTGGTTTCTCCGGGGTTTTCTGTTGTCGTCGGCGTGTGGATGTGTACACTCCTGTGTGTATTTCAGGAGAGGAGGGCTCCCAGGCCCCACTGGGGGACTGTGAGAATGGGACCTCCCTAGGTGAGGCCACCAGGGCAGCAGTCCTGGGGCGACTGGCGTTCTGCCATTGGAGCCTGGGGTCGGGGGTGGAGACTGCCACCCAAAAGAAGCGTCAGGAAGGGGCTGTCTTCTCTACCTAGCCTGCTCTTGCCCCTGGGCTCTGCGGTGGGTAGGAAGGAGGCTAGGCTCAGATACTCATTTTCTCTGCTTGGGGGTGGGACTGCCCTCAGGGACTCACAGGCCACCCATAACAGATCCCTCCCTCCAAGGAGCCCTGTAGTTCCCTTCTTGTCCAGCAGGGGCATCGTGGAAGCCAGATCCACCTGAGGGTGGAAGGAGCAGCAGGTGCTCCAGGGTGATGTAACCCAGCCCGGTGGGAGCCGCTGGGCCAGGTGCTGGGCTTCATCCACATAGTGCACAGCCCAAAGCCTGGAACACAGTAGGTGCCTCATCCATGCTTGATGAACCCAACTTAATTATCAGGTACAACTTCATCCAATGGGAGAATGAAAGATCTTTTGGGAGAAGTCAAAGTTGGGGGGCAGGATTGGGGTACAGCAGTTAGCTAGTGGGGGAAACTGAGTCATAGTGGGCATGCAGTGTGTCCAGACAAAGGCCTCTAATATTCTCAGCCTTCAGCGCTGTTCAGTCTACGGATGTGGAAGTCAGACAACTTCTGACTTCTCCGTGGGTGGAAGGAGGAAGGAGGTGGGAAAAGGTGACTTTCCTTTCCATGACTGATATTTAGGCCCCATTCCACCATATGCAGAGTGCAAGCTGTGGGGGTCTTGGCAAGCAGCTGTGCCACACCTGCCTGTGGTGAGGGCTTTCCACCCCTACTCCTTCCTTGGGTGCCCTCTACCCTCCTGCCTCTGTGCCTGGTCCCTGGCGCCCCTCAGCTACTTGATCAGCCCCAGTGGCAGAACCTACCTCCCCACACTGTCTCAACTTCTGCCCCCATCCCAATAAGTGCTGGACGTCTGGCCCCAGTTCTCCTCCCTTCATCCAGCCTCACCCTTGGACAGGGCCAGGCAACCCAGTATGCCCCTAGAGGCCAAGGTCAGAAGACCAAAGGCTAGGCAAGCCTGTGCCTGCTCCTCACCTGCAGGAGCAGATAAGCACTTGTCTAGGGCACCAGCACAGCAGGGACAGCCAAAAATAAGGGAGGAGGAGTGAGGAGAATTTGACATTTCATCCACAGCCTCAAAGAGGACTGCGTAGGGGAAGAAATTAGACTTTCACTGGACTTCTTCACACTTTTGAGGTTGTTAATTAAATTTACTGTTTTTAGAAAAATTGTGAATCACATATTTTGAGATCTTGGGACCACTAAAGGTCTTGCTTTCACACTAGGCATGGAGCTTTTGGGCAGTACAGACAATTTTCCCTACACTTTCTGGGAAGTGGGCAGCCCTTGGGGCTGGGAGAACCAGACCATTAGCTTCCACTTTCAGCCCCGTTATTCTCCTTTGCCTGGGCATAACAGGGCAGGGGACAGAGGCCAAGTCCCCCATTCCCCCAGTTATAAGGCAGATGCGTAGATTTTACTTCTTGCAATTCTGCAAGAGTGACAGAAAATGTGGCTTCAAGTCCTGGCTCTGATCCTGACTACTGTGTCATTTACCCTCTCTGAACCTCAGTTTCTCAAGGGGAGGATAATTATCTTCCCTGCCTCACAGGGTGTTGGGAAGATCAAATATATAGCCAATGTGAGGGGGATTTGCAAAAAAAAAAAAAAAAATGACTCCACACAGTTATAATGTATGGTGATGCTATTGTGAGATTGTTTAACTCAGCAGTCATTGATACCCCAACTCCTTTTTTGTTTAGACAGGGTCTGGTTCTGTCACCCAAGCTGGAGTGCAGTGGCCTGATCTCAACTCACTGCAACCTCTGCCTCCTAGGCTCAAGCCACCCTCCCACCTTAGCCTCCTGAATAGCTGGGACTATAGGCATGTACCACCATGCCCAACTAATTTTTGTATTTTTCTGTAGAGACGGGGTTTTGCCATGTTGTCCAGGCTGGTCTCGAACACCTAAGTCCAAGAAATCCACCTGCCTCGGCCTCCCACAGTGCTGAGATTACAGGCATGAGCCACTGTGCCCAGCCTGATCCTTTTTGTTTTGTTTTGTTTTGGGACAGAGTCTTGCTCTGTTGCCAGGCTGGAGTGCAGTGGCGCTATCTCAGTTCACTGCAACCTCCGCCTCCCAGGTTCAAATGATTCTTCTGCCTCAGCCTCCTGAGTAGCTGGGACTACGCGCCACCATGCCCAGCTAATTTTTGCATTTTTAGTACAGACAGGGTTTCACCATGTTGGCTAGGATGGTCTCGATCTAGTGACCTCGTGATCCACCGCCTCGGCCTCCCAAAGTGCTGGGATTACAGGCATGAGCCACCGTGCCAGTCCTATCCATTTTTTTTTTTTAACAAATTATTTTGAGGTGGCAGAATCAAAGCTGAGTCGTAAAAGATTAGTAAGAATCAGGTGAAGAGGCAGGGAAGGAAGTTCCAGACAGAGGGAACAGCACACGCTGCCAAGGCACAAAGTTAAGAAGGAACCAAGTAAATTCTAGAGAAAGTGAGTTTGGCTGGCTGAACCACGTGTGTGTGTGTGTTGGGGTGGAGGGCTGGTGGGAAGGGCAGTAGTGGGGAAAGAAGATCTGGAGTTAGAAGTGGTCATACCTGAAAAGTAGTTAGGCCTTGCTAAGAATTTGGACTTTATTCTTAAGACAGCGGGGAGCCACAGGACGACTTTTTTTTTTTTTTTTTGAGACGGAGTTTCGCTCTTGTTACCCAGGCTGGAGTGCAATGGCGCGATCTCAGCTCACCGCAACCTCCGCCTCCTGAGTTCAGGCAATTCTCCTGCCTCAGCCTCCTGAGTAGCTGGGATTACAGGCACGCACCACCACGCCCAGCTAATTTTTTGTATTTTTAGTAGAGACGGGGTTTCACCATGTTGACCAGGATGGTCTCGATCTCTTGACCTCGTGATCCACCCGCCTCGGCCTCCCAAAGTGCTGGGATTACAGGCTTGAGCCACTGCGCCCAGCAGGGACGACTTTTAGCAGGAGAGCAAGATGATAGGGTTTGTGTCTTTGAAAAATTACTTTGGCAGCGGTTATCGGGGGCAGCCTGAAGTTGGGGATGCCAATGAAGAGACTCCTAAACCAAGGCAGCATGGCAGTGGCCAAAGGAAAGACAGGGGCAGTAGCGCAAGGAGAAGCGGACGGACTGGAAACAGCTAGAAGTCACATCAGTGAGACTCTGGCGTCGGATTTTTTGGGTTCACCTCTCAGCTCCTTCACTTACTTACTGCCTCTAAGACCCTGGGCAGACTACTTCAGACTACCTCCACATTTCCATTTCTTCATCATCAGTAAAATGGAAGCGATCATAGGATCTATGTATCTCAACAGGACAGAATGAAATGATTTAATATACATAAAAGAATGAGAACAGCACCTTTTGTTGCTACTTCTACAGTTGCCGTTAGTAGTAGTAATACTGACTGGATGTGGGCGTTGAGGGAGAGAATTTAAGCTGACACCCAGTTCTCGGGCTTTAACATCAGGGTGTACCGTCAGCAAGAGTCTGGCACGTAGCAAGAGCTTGTTAAGAGCATGTAGGCCAGGCGCAGTGGCTCATGTCTGTAATCCCAGCCCTTTGGGAGGCTGAGGCAGGTGGACTACCTGAGATCAGGAGTTCAAAACCAGCCTGGCAAATATGACAAAACCCCGTCTCCACTAAAAATACAAAAAATTAGCTGGGCATGGTAGCAAGTGAGGCACGAGAATCTCTTGAAGCCAGAAGGCAGAGGTTCCAGTGAGCAGAGATTGCGCCACTGTACCCCAGCCTAAGCGACAGAGCAAGAGTGTGTCTCAGAAAAAAAAAGATATGAAAGAATATGTTGACTGCGTAGTAAAGGCAGAGCGAGCCGAAGAAGGCGAGTCTTCTGGGGAGGGTGCAGGGAAGGGGGTGTGCTGAGGCCACTTTGGGACACATTGAGTTTGTGATACCTGCAGGCAGGATGACCAAGTATCCTGGAGAAACTGGAAGGTTGGTCAATTGACCTGCAGGACATCAGTGTGTGTGTGCGTGCGTGCATGTGTATTGGTGGGAAGAGGGGAGCTCTGTAATCCAGCTGGAAGATTCTATGTGTAGGTGTTACGTTCTGAGCATTTGGAAATTGGGAGATTCAGGGAGGCACCACCCCAGGTCCCACGGGAAGGTGCTGCTCTGCCTTATCCAGGTTCCTCCAACTTAGATAGCGACAGTAAAAGCAGGCCCAGGTGGCTAGGCTGAAAGGAGACCGTGGGAAAAAATGACAATATTTTGGATGTCCCTGTGCCAGCAGGGACACATCATTCAATATCTCTGGCCTTCCTCCAAGGGACTATTGTACGCCCAGTCTAAAGCCCAAGGCCAGGCTAAAGCTCCCCTAAAGCGACATGAGATGTTCTATGAATATTGTCTGACTTCTTCCTCACAAACCCCCTCTCTAATAATTGCCATCTCTGTTATCAGATGAAGAAATAGAGGCAGACAAGTTCAGGGCCTCGTTCAAAGTCAGAGCTGGTGAGTGGGGATGGCAGGCTTACACCCAGTTCTTGGGTTCTAAAGGCCACAAAGGAAGCCGCCTTTTGATGGCTGTCACTGGGCGACCCTCCCTGCTTCCCAAGGAATCAGCACATGGAAATGTCCTGGATCAGGGACGGATGTGGAGGATATATCCCCTGCCCATGCCCCTCCTGGGGTGA